TGAAACATTGGGATGCCTGGATATCAGGAGCAAGTGTTGACTCTCCAGTAAATTTGCCCTTCCTAATGCAAATGGAACAATTCTTAGAGGGTGTTCCTGAGGAAATCGAAAGATACATCCTAGATGGGAAACCCAAAACTGTAATTGAGGCAGGAGAGATTGGAGCCAGATGGGTGGAGGTGGCAGAGAAGAAAACTGGTCGCAGTTGGAGCGGAGACCAGAAGGGACCACCCCAGACCACACCCTATTACCGGGGGCCGCCCAAAGCCCCACCTACCTCCCAAAGAACCCTCCAGACCCCTTATCGTCCCACCACCCCGTTCTCCAGCAACCCTCCTTGCCCCAGTGACCCGTCAGCTGGACGATGTTTTAAGTGTAACGAGCTGGGGCATGTAAAGGCCAACTGCCCCAAGAACCCCAACAGATTACAGTTCATTGCACCGGAATCACACCAGAGGTCCACAGGCCCAGAGACCTCCCAGATACCCTTGGAGCGGAGGGAAACTGTGAGTGTGGGCGGGAAGAAGGTCACCGCATGGAGGGACACCGGAGCACAAGTGTCAGCTATCCATGCTTCCTTAGTGGACCCCAATTTAATCAACCCAGAGATCCAAGTGACGATTCAACCCTTCAAGTCCAACTCTTTCAGTTTGCCTACAGCCAAGTTGCCTGTCCAGTACAAGGGCTGGTCAGGAATGTGGACTTTTGCAGTCTATGATGATTATCCCATCCCCATGCTGTTGGGGGAAGACTTGGCCAATCATGTGAAGCAGGCCAAGAGGGTGGGAATGGTCACCCGCAGCCAGGCTAAACAAGCCGTGAGGCCTAGCTCTGTTCCGGAAACTTCTATCAGGACCCAGTCAGAGGTGATGGACCTGGACCCCAGGCCAATGTCTGCAACAGCAGTAGTGGATCCAGTCCCAGAGACCCAGACGGAACCAGTCCCAGAACCGGAACCAGCCGAACAACCAACACCAGACCCCGTGTCAACACTGAATCCAGTACTTGCAACCTCAACACCAGAGGGCCCCACCGAACCTGAACTGGCAGCAGCCGATAACCCTACACAAGAGGCTCAGCCGGAGCCTGAATCCCAACATAGTGCACCAGCGGAGAGCGGTTCACAGTCAACAGAAACAGCTCCATCCCCTATATCGCTTCCAGAGGGACCAAGCCTAGGTCCACAGTCCCATGAGGAACTGATGTCTCCAGCATCAAGGGAACAGTTCCAGACCGAACAGGAAGCAGATGAAAGCCTCCAGAGAGCTTGGACGGCGGCACAGAGCAACCCACCGCCTCTCAGCTCTTCTAATCGATCCAGGTTTGTTGTAGAAAGAGGACTTTTATACAAGGAAACTCTTTCTGGTGGACACCAGGAAGACTGGCATCCTCAGAGACAGTTGGTAGTTCCAACTAAATACCGGGCCAAGCTCTTGAGCTTAGCCCATGATCACCCTAGTGGCCATGCTGGGGTGAACAGGACCAAAGACCGTTTGGGGGGGGTCATTCCACTGGGAGGGAATGGGCAAGGATGTTTCTACCTATGTCCAGTCTTGTGAGGTGTGCCAAAGAGTGGGAAAACCCCAAGACCAGGTCAAAGCCCCTCTCCAGCCACTCCCCATCATTGAAGTTCCATTTCAGCGAGTAGCTGTGGATATTCTGGGTCCTTTTCCGAAAAAGACACCCAGAGGAAAGCAGTACATACTGACTTTCATGGATTTTGCCACCCGATGGCCGGAAGCAGTAGCTCTAAGCAACACCAGGGCTAAAAGTGTGTGCCAGGCACTAGCAGACATTTTTGCCAGGGTAGGTTGGCCCTCCGACATCCTCACCGATGCAGGGACTAATTTCCTGGCAGGAACTATGAAAAACCTTTGGGAAGCTCATGGGGTAAATCACTTGGTTGCCACTCCTTACCATCATCAAACAAATGGCATGGTGGAGAAGTTTAATGGAACTTTGGGGGCCATGATACGTAAATTCGTAAATGAGCACTCCAATGATTGGGACCTAGTGTTGCAGCAGTTGCTCTTTGCCTACAGAGCTGTACCACATCCCAGTTTAGGGTTTTCCCCATTTGAACTTGTATATGGCCGTGAGGTTAAGGGGCCATTGCAGTTGGTGAAGCAGCAATGGGAGGGATTTACACCTTCTCCAGGAACTAACATTCTGGACTTTGTAACCAACCTACAGAACACCCTCCGAACCTCTTTAGCCCTTGCTAGAGAAAACTTACAGGATGCTCAAAAAGAGCAAAAAGCCTGGTATGATAAACATGCCAGAGAGCGTTCCTTCAAAGTAGGAGACCAGGTCATGGTCTTAAAGGCGCTCCAGGCCCATAAAATGGAAGCATCGTGGGAAGGGCCATTCACGGTCCAGGAGCGCCTGGGAGCTGTTAATTATCTCATAGCATTCCCCACCTCCAACCGAAAGCCTAAGGTGTACCATATTAATTCTCTAAAGCCCTTTTATTCCAGAGAATTAAAGGTTTGTCAGTTTACAGCCCAGGGAGGAGACGACGCTGAGTGGCCTGAAGGTGTTTACTACGAAGGGAAATGTGCTGGTGGTGTGGAAGAGGTGAACCTCTCCATGACCCTTGGGCGTATGCAGCGACAGCAGATCCAGGAGCTGTGCACTAGCTACGCGCCAACGTTCTCAGCCACCCCAGGACTGACTGAACGGGCATACCACTCCATTGACACAGGTAATGCTCACCCAATTAGGGTCCAACCTTACCGGGTGTCTCCTCAAGCTAAAACTGCTATAGAACGGGAGATCCAGGATATGTTACAGATGGGGGTAATCCGCCCCTCTGAAAGTGCATGGGCATCTCCAGTGGTTCTAGTTCCCAAACCAGATGGGGAAATACGTTTTTGCGTGGACTACCATAAGCTAAATGCTGTAACTCGCCCAGACAACTATCCAATGCCACGCACAGATGAACTATTAGAGAAACTGGGATGGGCCCAGTTCATCTCTACCTTGGACTTAACCAAGGGGTACTGGCAGGTACCGCTAGATGAATCTGCCAAGGAAAGGTCAGCCTTCATCACACATCTCGGGCTGTATGAATTTAATGTACTCCCTTTCGGGCTGCGAAATGCACCCGCCACTTTCCAAAGACTTGTAGATGGTCTCCTAGCGGGATTAGGAGAATATGCAGTCGCCTACCTTGACGATGTGGCCATATTTTCGGATTCCTGGGCAGACCCCCTGGAACATCTACAAAAAGTCCTTGAGCGCATAAGGGAGGCAGGACTAACTGTTAAGGCTAAGAAGTGTCAAATAGGCCTAAACAGAGTGACTTACCTTGGACACCAGGTGGGTCAAGGAACTATCAGCCCCCTACAGGCCAAAGTGGATGCTATCCAAAAGTGGCCTGTCCCAAAGTCAAAGAAACAGGTTCAATCCTTCTTAGGCTTGGCCGGTTATTACAGACGATTTGTACCGCACTACAGCCAAATCGCTGCCCCACTGACAGACCTAACCAAAAAGAAACAGCCAAATGCTGTTCAGTGGACCGGAAAGTGTCAGAAGGTCTTTAACAAGCTTAAAGCGACACTCATGTCTGACCCTGTACTAAGGGCCCCAGACTTTGACAAACCGTTCCTAATAACCACAGGTGCATCCGAGCGTGGTGTGGGAGCAGTTTTAATGCAGAAAGGACCTGATCAAGAATTCCACCCTGTAGTGTTTCTCAGCAAAAAACTGTCTGAGAGGGAAAGCAACTGGTCAGTCACTGAAAAAGAATGTTATGCCATTGTCTACGCTCTGGAAAAGCTACGCCCATATGTTTGGGGACGGCGTTTCCACCTGCAAACCGACAATGCTGCACTAAAGTGGCTTCACACCGTCAAAGAAACTAACAAAAAACTTCTTCGGTGGAGTTTAGCTCTCCAAGATTTTGATTTCGACATCCAACACATCTCAGGAGCTTCTAACAAAGTGGCTGATGCACTCTCCCGTGAAAGTTTCCCAGAATCAACTGGTTAAAATCGTCCTTGAGATGTGGAAAATATTGTTAGTCTTGATGTACTTGGTAGTATATTTAGAGATGCATGTGTCTTATTAACTCTGTTTTTCCTAGAGCTCCAGGAAGAAATCCCAGCCAGTGTTTCACCCTAGCTGAGATTTGGGGGGCGTGTCATAAATATAAAGGGAAGGGTAAACCCCTTTGAAATCCCTCCTGGCCAGGGGAAAGCTCCTCTCACCTGTAAAGGGTTAAGAAGCTAAAGGTAACCTCGCTGGCACCTGACCAAAATGACCAATGAGGAGACAAGATAATTTCAAAAGCTGGGAGGAGGGAGAGAAACAAAGGGGTCTGTGTCGGTCTGTATGCTGCTCTTGCCAGGGACAGAACAGGAATGGAGTCTTAGAACTTTTAGTAAGTAATCTAGCTAGGTATGTGTTAGATTATGATTCCTTTAAATGGCTGAGAAAAGCATTGTGCTGAATAGAATAACTATTTCTGTCTGTGCATCTTTTTTGTAACTTAAGGTTTTGCCTAGAGGGGTTCTCTATGTTTTTGAATCTAATTACCCTGTAAGATATCTACCATCCTGATTTTACAGGGGGGATTTCTTTATTTCTATTTACTTCTATTTTTTATTAAAAGTCTTCTTGTAAAAACTGAATGCTTTTTCATTGTTCTCAGATCCAAGGGTTTGGGTCTGTGGTCACCTAGGCAAATTGGTGAGGCTTTTTACCAAACCTTGTCCAGGAAGTGGGGTGCAAGGTTTTGGGAAGTATTTTGGGGGGAAAGACGCGTCCAAACAGCTCTTCCCCAGTAACCAGTATTAGTTTGGTGGTGGTAGCGGCCATTCCAAGGATAACGGGTGTAATATTTTGTACCTTGGGGAAGTTTTGACCTAAGCTGGTAAAGATAAGCTTAGGGGGGTTTTTTCATGCAGGTCCCCACATCTGTACCCTAGAGTTCAGAGTGGGGGAGGAACCTTGACAGCTGTATACGGCACTTGTAATGTGAGTATTTTCTATTACACAGGACCACAACAGATATTCGTGCTGGTGTAGAGTTATCAGTCTGTGGGGGAGAGGTTCTAGGTACGTGAATTCAAGTCAGTTGTGATATGTCTGTCGTATATATAGTAAGGGTATACTGACAATATGCAAGAAGGTATTAATTCAAATTCCATGGTGATGAGTGCAATCTTAAAACCCAGACAGACAGGTGCATATCATAGAATCAGATTCTCAGGGTTAGAAGGGACCTCAGGAGGTCATCTAGTCCAACGCCCTGCTCAAAGCAGGACCAATCCCCAATTTTTGCCCCATATCCCTAAATGGCCCCCTCAAGGATTGAACTCACAACCCTGGGTTTAGCAGGCCAAAGCTCAAACCACTGAGCTATCCCTCCCCCCCATAAATGGCCCCCTCAAGGATTGAACTCACAGCCTTGGGTTTAACAGGCCAATGCTCAAACCACTGAGCTATCCCTCCCCTCAACCAGTACCGTAAGGGAAAGTTGAAAAGAACTTTGAAGAGAGAGTTCAAGAGGGCGTGAAACCGTTAAGAGGTAAACGGGTGGGGTCAGCGCAGGCACGAGACCGATAGTCATATGGGCATAAAGTGGCCATTTCGTGCTCAGGTGTGTGTAACTGAGTGTCCATTACAGATTCATTCACTTTATTTTTCTAATTTATTTCTAAGGAGGTAAAGTATCTAGTATGTATGTGCTCCCTATTCATTTTACTGCCGAACTGAAGTTCTTGGTGGCATGGGACTATACACTGAATTTCCAATAATTTGAGTCAATAAGAATATTATTCCAGACCTGAGGAGCTTTTGTGGAGAGAGCAGAATTAATGCTGTGTGTTCAGCACAATTAGACACGGTCCACAGCAACAGTGTTTGTGCACACATCTGAGTCAGCTGATCATTCCATTTCATACACCTCGGCTTTACATCAACTATAATTATATTGCTTGAACTTTGGCACTGCATTCTCATTATCCATTGGTATTACACACTCAGAATGTCTGTCTTCCTGCACCTGCTTCTGCTGATACTATCAACTGTCACTACCTTTGTCCTAGGCATAATAGAGATTCTGCACACCTGAGTTGGTTGCTATGTTGATGGGTAATCAGCTGTATGGTGAGTCTCCAGGAGCCAAAAATGAATGTGCTTACCACAAAGATGAACACAGCCTCATCCTTGTGTGAGACATTCATTGTCACTGAAAACATACCCACTGGTATTTCTGTTCACTTTGCAGACCCATGTGGATTTGATGGGTGTATAGAGTTCAGTTGATAGTGTCTAGTTTTGGAGTACTCTTTGAAGCATTAGTTTTTGATTTGTGCAACTTTTTCACTCTAAAGGGGAGATTCAGGCCAAATACTTGTAGATTGCTGTAGCGTCATCCATAGCCATTGCTTAAGCAGTCTACCATATCCCCATCAGAAGAGGAAAGGAAAAGGAACCACATGTGACAGATGCTCACCACAGTGATTCATACTTCTTGAAGGCACTCCCATACCACGGTGATAGGCTTTGGTATAAGAACCTGAAGACAATTGAATATTTAACTCTTTTAATCAAACCGTGTTAATCATATTTCATTAATGTGGTGTGTTTACCCCTTTTCCCAATTGCCAATGAAGATGTTAAATAAGATGGGACATAATAGTAAACCACATTATGGCACCCCCACTAGCTAGATATATTGCTGTTATGTGTGCTAATATGTGTTATTTGTCCTTCAGTCAGTTTTCAGTAAGTTTTATAGTTGTCATATCCAAGTTGATTTGAATTAATTTTGAGTAAGAATTCATGACCCTCTCTATCAAATGTCTTACTAAAATCGATTTCCTCTACTACAGTCCCATCATCTACTAATTTTGCAGTACTAATAAAAAAACAATCATCGTGTTTATCTGATGCTCTTTATAAGCCCATGCTGCTTATTGCTCATAGTTCCATTATTCTACAGTTGTGTTGATCTTTTATCTTAATATACTAGATTTATTAACAGCTAGATTTATTTTCACTTGATTATTTACACTTTATCTATAGCTGTTATTACAAGGTCTCCATTACTTCATAATTGTTTAAATTGCTCATTTTTAAAAAACAGTATCTTGGTCATTTTTGAGTCAGCATTAATGTCATGTCTTATCTTGTGTATTAATGGGCCTACTTTTTCTTTAGTATGATTCCCCGATTTATTTGCAAAAGCCCTTCTTATTATTCCCAACTCCTTTAGCTAGCACAAACTCATTAAACCTTTTTAGTCCTCTTTTCTCTACAAACCATTGCTGATCATGTATTCTTGTTTGAATGTCTCCCCTCATCTAGGTACAGTACTGAATATTTTTTAAACTCTGGTTTTTGAGCATTTCCTTGTGAAGTCATGTCACACCAGTCCCTTCTTCTTCCTGCTCTTCTTATTAGTACTGTGTTTTCCATTTCTTCTGAGGCCTCGTAGAAATTCTCCATCTTCTTCCACAGTGGTATAAAGTTAAACAACAGCTGCATTAAATTCTAAACAACATTACAAAAGGAAAAGTGGTGTCCCTCAGACATTTCTCCTTTTGTGATTGCCAATGTGGGTTGCAGGTAGCTTTACAGCAGGGAAAAACTAGGTTTGTAAAACAGACCTGTTATGGTCGTTGTAGAATGCACAGCGATTCAGGAAGCCCGGGTGAGTAACTGAATGATCTCTCTTTCTATCTAGCTGGCTAGCCTAGGACATTCACACATCTCCCTTGCAGCTCCCCCTGTGGTCCAATCTACACAGTGGTTCTAGGCAGTCACAACTAGCACTACAGAAAGTCATTGTGGTCAAACTCAAATTCATTTTCAAATCTGAACGAATGTTTGTGAAAAACTTTCCCCACTATTCACTCAGCTCTATTCCCTTCTCTTCTGTTTCAGAACAACACCATTTTCTCTCTTCCTTTGCATGTTAGAAGTACAGTGTTTGCAAGATTATCTGAGTGAAGCGAAAGGGGATCCCCTGTCCTAATTAAATATGACTCATGTGTCCTGTTGGTTCTGAACCAAAGAGGCTGGCACTTCATCTGAAGACAATGAAAAGGTTCCTGTTCAACTTCAGTGGGCATCAGAACAGACCCTAGCAGACTGTCCCGGAAAAGAGAAGGTACAATGGAAAGTCCAGCAGAGGGAGTCATTTTAAAAAGAAAAGTTATTGACAAACGTCTTATGGGAATTGTGAAATAAGTGAGTCTTTAGGAGTTTATTTGAATGTGAATGGGTAGGGCATTTGGTCACCTGAGATATAGAAATTATAAAAAACATATTCCTATAAGAGAGCAAAGGATAGTTTGTTGCAGATACATGTTCTAAACCACTCAGGACTAGATTCTCTTCTGTGCAGACATCTGATAGGTGTGGGGGGTTAGTGGTGGGGGACATGAGTATTGGAGTGCCATCGGGGAGCATCTTGCTCTTGATTCTGGTACCATGCTACTCTGACTCCAGTGTATCTTAAAGGACCATACACCAGTTGAGGATTCATGGAACTCAGATGTACTCTACCCCACCCCCAACATGCTCCTTCACGCCCATGACATGTCCTGTGTGTGGGGGTGGCTGGCCTCCCCTACCTCTTCAGTCTAGCTAAGAGTTGTCCCACCAAGTGGATTCTCAGCTGAGCAGCGGAGGCCCTTTGCTCTACTAAGGCATAGGTGTAGTTTGACTTCTATATTTGGGGGGGCGGCAGTTCCAGTCAGGCCAACAGGCTACACATGGAGGAGGCAAATTCCACACCGGCCCAAGGCTTGTAGTTTGGGACAACACTCCCCCTACCCCCCTTCATCAAAGTACACTCATGTGGTGGAGCAGAGGAGTTAGGCACAGAAGAGAAAACCTGGTGTGACAGGGGTCCTGTGTCGAACTAGGGTGCCCCCGTCGGCCCAGTGAGGGGTTGGTGCACCCCATCACCCCATCATTGGGATCCCCCCTTTAAGCAGGTGATTTTGGCCAAGTGGGTCCCGGCCCCCTGATAGGGTCACTTAGACAAATAGTCCATAGTCTCTGGGCAGGCAAAACAAACAGTCGGTAGCTCTGTAGCCTCTTGGCTGAGGCAAAACGAACAACCAGTCTAGAGCCCTGCAGTCTCCAGGCTGGGGCAGGTGGCAACACTTGGGGAATTAGCCCCCTGGGAGGGCAAAGCAGCGAGCAGTTTGCAGCCCCTGGGCAGGGCAGGGCAAAGCAAACAGCCTGTGGCCCTGCAGCCTCCTGGCTGGGGCAGGCAGTTGCCCTGGGGGAAATTAGCCCTCTGGGCAGGGCAAAATATCAATCAGACTATGGCCCCTGGCAAAGCAAACAAACAGTCTATATTGCCTTACTACCCTCTTGGCTGGGACGCAGAACAGCCAGCAGCTTCCGCAGCCATTGGTGGCTTGGCTTCCGAGGCAGTCTCCGCAGTCAGCGAGTCACCTGGAGCGTAGTTTGGGTCTTCGGGCCAGGTGAGTCACAGGAACCAGCAGGGAACATCCTTCCTCCTCCATCGCCCACTCCAACTGAGCTGGGCTGCCTCCTTTTATCTGGCTTCTCCACTTGGAGCATGCGCAGCAGGAGAAAGGGTGCATGGCCACCTGGGCCCACAATGATCGGTCCGCCCCTGGCAGCCCAATCACACCTGGCTACAAATGTTCTGTTTCAAAAGCAATAATTAAGATGACTAGAAAATTAGAAAATAATCCAAATCCAGGGGGCCAGGAGACATGCAACAGTAGAGGGGTTCCTTCTTGTACATGGTTTCACTGTTTGCACTTGTTAATGTACTGTTTGTTTGTTTGTAGGTTCTGTTGTTACTGGTATGTTAATGTGGTAATGGCAGTTGACTTGCCTGGCAATAGATTAATGTTGTACTTGTTTATAAATACAGTTTTTTATTTTATCAAGAGAGTTTAGTGCTGTCACTGCATCACATCATACAATGTGTATTTAAAATAAAGGTAAACCCATGATCAGGGACAATTAGGAATTAATAGGCAAACACTATTCCTCAATACAAGTTAGCTACATCAGTCCATACTTCAATCACTTCCTTACATCAATCTATACTGTGAATCCATGCTCACACTCCCCTGCACTTACCCTACAGGTGACTTTCCAACACCAAATTGGTTGGCAACAGACCTGTAGCAGTCTGAGATAGCCAGCACCCTACAGGTGACTTTCCAACACCAAATTGGTTGGCAACAGACCTGTAGCAGTCTGAGATAGCCAGCTTCCAGACAGTTAAAGTAACCCACTTCTGGATCAGCCAGGCCTCTCTCATGCATGTGTCTTTATGCTGGAGAGTTGGGGCAAGATACTCACAAAGCTCCAGAAATGTAGCTTTCTTCAGGCATCATCCCAAGTCTGCATGACAATGCAGTCCTACCAGTCTGTGCTTGTGGCCCTGCTCCAGAAGTGCTGGTCTATGTAGGGGATATCAGCAACTGTATCCAGTGTCATAAGCAGTATCAGCCAATTTGAGTCTGCCATACCTGTGTCGTCCTCCTCCTCCTCCTCCTCCTCCTCCTCCTCCTCCTCATGCTCCATTGTAACGCCAACAGACCTCGGTCACTGCTGGCTGGGGTCAAACCTGGGACTTCTGGAGCTTAATGCATGAACAGTGACAGCCTGAGCTAAAAGTCATATGTCTCTTAGCCAAAGCTATAGCAGGCTCATCAATCTCTAGCTTGTCTAGCTGCCACTAGAGAGGGACAAAGTGCTACACAAAGCAGGCATAGGTTACACCATCACAAATGTTGTCAGGTGCCTTTGGTGGGTCAGAAAACACTGCTGAAATCACCTCCAGCACCTCACGAAAGCTCTGCCTGCTTCCTGACACAGGAGTGAAAGTGCAAGCAAGAGAAATTCGTCAAAAGACACCTCCTACATGTCGTTCACTCTGGTAGCTGGGCATGAACAGACCAAAATGGTCAGCAGAATGTGTTGGCGGGTGTTCAAACTTTCTGTAGCATGCAAGATGGACAGTCAAGTTTTCCCATAGTGCACCACGGTCAAAAAGCTAGAGTGGTCACCTTTTGGAGTACAATAGGGAGTCTTGGATATTGTTGGTTTGACTTGGGTCTACGTGGTGCAGTGTGGATTCCAGAGGACCAGGTCCAAGCCTGGGTTAGAACATCCTTAATGTAGGGTTAACAGTCAGTGTAGACACTCAAGCTCTGAGTTCTCTAACCCAGGATCAGCTGACTGGAGTCCCACTAACCCTGGGCTTACACTGCAGGGTAGACATAGGTTCCTTCAGAGCTTGATTCTAAGAGTGTGTGAAGGCTTGAGGGTGTCCTTATTGATCAACACCGGTTTGCATCCCTGATGAATCCCATATTCTCTCTTGTGGTAACTTTCTGTGGGTCATCTTGATGTTGGAATTTAAAATAAATATGTGTTTGCTGAGAGGTTTTTGTTAAACAGCATGCAGTTGAGTCCAGCTAAGCATCACTGATGTGCTTTGCTCGATGACTCATGCACAGTGCTAATTTGGCAGCACGACCATTAATTACATTTTGCAGGATTTCAGCTCTTATCCTGCTAATTTGGAGGCCTCCCCATGGTTGACCTTCTTTTCACTTTTTCATCTCATCAATACCATGTCTGCTAAAAGATAAAAATCCCACCACTTGTGTAATCCACGGTGTCCTGTTACTGTAGCTGCAAGATCAGTGCTCAAGCCTTGAAGATAAACGTGACCAGCATGGTTTTTTTAAATTTCATTTGCTGAGGGGACACAGCAAAGAGGAGTTCACATGAAACATTTAGGATTTCATCACATTGACCAATGTTCATCAAGTGTACGGAATCAAGTTAGAAATGACTCCACAGTGTTAATGCCTGATTTCCCAGATGATTATTTACCTGTGTGTAGCTCCCACTGGAGTCAATGGGAGTAATTTGCATGGACTACATCTCAGGATCAGGCCTTTAAGTAACCCACCCCATGAATATACTCTTCATTTCCCCCTCCTCCCATCCACATTCCCTAAAATGTTGCTCTGGATTAGTTATACTTTGTTGTTTGCTTTACAGATTTAAAATACTCTAGAAACATGTAGGTTGTCAGATTTTTGCAGGTAGTGGCAAAATATAGTCACTCCCACTCCATGCGTCAGGGGGCCCCAGGTACAGCACAGCCCGGGTAGTTTTACTGTGCAAGTGGCTCAAGAATCCAAGAGTAATGTACGGATACATATGTCCTGCATGCTCCCGAGCCCCCTTCCTTTGAAACTCCCTTCGATACCCCAGAGAATGGTTTGAGCATTAAAACATGCGGACAGTTGAACAAACAAGGCAACACAACATACCCGAGGCAAATATCAATGTCCCTTTAAACCATTTTATTGCTGACTGCTTACAGTACACTACAAACTATTTAATAGGGAGAGGCTGTTTCAGTAAAGCAGTTCTAGATTGTGCAGACACAGTTTCTTGAGTTTGTGTAAAAAGCAGAAGAAATTATGGAGTACGTAATATAAAAACTTCTCAGCCAGTCCTTCCGCACACACTGCTCCCATTCACTTTGATAAGCAATGCACAAAAGAGACTACAGCACTGAACCCATATATCAGAATCGATGCTGGAAAGGCTCAAAGCCTAAATCCCATGTGTGGCCCAGGAAACTGATCATATGATTATAGACATTGTCTTGACAGGTGAGCCATACCCAGTGCTTACTTATTCTGTTGATTTCTCTGCTGAAGGAGCGAGGTTGGGCTAATTGTCGTTTGGACCTGTAAAGATAACAAAGGGAAGAATAGCTAGGAAGAAATCATGGAGGTAACAGTTCATATTTTATATTTAAACAAAATCCATTAAGAAAGGAAAATCTATGGGGCACATCATTAGTTGATGTAAATTGTCACAGATCCATTGAAATCTTTGTGTTGTGGGGGAGGGTCTGCCCCCAAAAGCCCAAACTTGTGAGATACTGGGGATGGGATTCATGAAGGAGACCTCGGTGCTGTTGCAATACTGATCATTTTTAGGCCTAGAAAATCCAGGAATAACACTGCCATCCACAAAGCCGAGTTAGGTAGGTGAGCATGTCTATCAGATCAGGCCCCGTACGTGACTTAGCCCTGGTCTACACTAGGACTTTAGGTCGAATTTAGCAGCGTTAAATCG